AGGCCCGAAACGTCAGCCTTCCTGCTCCTCTGATGCTGCTTGGCCTGCTGTGTTCATCCAGCTCTACACCTTGTTATCTCATGGTGATTATATTAGCTTCATTGATTGGGATAAAGTGATAGAGGAGAGAACATAATCCCAGTCTTCGAAATGTTAAGGGAATGGATGTGATGACAGTGAAAGAACAGTATTTGAATGGAACAGTGAACACAAAGAGGAAAATGAGTAATAATCCACAGAATATCACTTCAAATTCTGTCATGCGCTACCTGAAAATTTAAATCAAATTTAAAAGGTGTCACAATAGAAAGCTGGTCTCAGTAAAAGTGGCCAAGAATCTCTCAACTTGTTCTCAAACCCCACTTAGTACAAGAATGTCCCAGTGGAGAAGGAAGAAAATGAGCTGTCCCTACCTGGTCTAGTCCAACACAGTTCACCCTGCCTGCCCTAGGAAACAAACACCAGCTCCAGGACCAGCGGCTCAGAATGTGGCTCTGCACCATTGCCCAGCAAAGAGGAATTGCCAGGGATCTCCACACGTCTGCAAATATATAATAAAAATACAGTGTGGTGGAGGCTAAAATCAGCAGCTTCAAGTGCAAATGCACAAGGCTGTGGGAGAGGGATTAAATGGGTGGGGAGAGTCAGTGATGTGAGGGCAAGAGTCTACACAGACAATGGGGCAAAGTATAACTTTAAATAGTGTAATATAACTCTTCCATGCTATTTGATCCAAACTTACACATTAAAGAGTGAGCAGAGATGAGGAGGAATGACTTCCCTCAAAGGGTCATGAATCTGGGGAATTCACTCCCCCAGAGTGCAGTGGATACTGGGACATGGAGTAAATGCAAGGAGGACATGGACAGATTTTTAATTAGTAATGGGGTGGAGGGTGATGGAGAGCGGGCAGGAGTTCAGGTCAAGGTGAGATAAGCCATGATGGTATTAAATGGAGGAGCAGGTTCAAGGGGCTGAGTGGCTTCCCACTGTTCCTAGATTTTATGTTCTTATTTCATAATTGTGCATTTATGAAAAGGGCTGGAGTTGTTGGAATAGTCTGCTGTGAAGAATTACTGACGTGTCCTTCTTCCCTCCCACAGCGTGTGACTGCAATCCTGAAGGATCAGTCCACAGCATGTGTGACCAGACGACTGGTCAATGTGATTGTCGGGCAGGGGCAAGGGGTCGTCAGTGTGACCAGTGTTACCCACAGCTCTGGGGCTTTCCAACCTGCCAACCCTGCCACTGCAATGGACACTCAGAGGACTGCGATTCCCAAACCGGAGAGTGCCTGAACTGTCGGGACAACACATCTGGACGGCATTGCCAAAGGTCAGTCCTCCCATAGCTTTCAGCTCGCTGTTGGTTTCCGAATGATGAGGAGCTGGTACAACCAGCCAGCCCCTGGAGGCTTACCTCTTTACAAATTCAATCACAACCCATTTCCATGGCTGTGCTTGAAGCAGATGGTAAATCCCCGGTTGGCCGAATGCTTGTCTTGGATGAAAAGCTTTGTTCCATTTTGTTGCATGCACCATTCTGATGCAGACTGTGCATTGACAAGTGTATGCCATTCACTAGGTTCTATATTCACGTGGAACATAGAAACCAGGAGCAGCGGGAGGCCATTCAGTCCTTTGGGCCTGCTTCACCATTCAATGTGATCATATGTGATCCTCCAATTCAGTCCCCATTACCACTTTCTCCCCATAGCCTTTAGACTCCTCCAGGATATTGTCCATTAAATACCTGGAGAACAGAGACTGTACCATTGAAGCACCAGCCTGATTTATGATCAGACAATGCACTTCCAAAAACACTCTCTGTGGAATGAAACTCTGATAACAGCTCCCTTCATTAAACCCACATCTCTTACAAGGATCTGATCTTCATTGCATTACTGTTTTTGGAATCTTGCTGTGCACAGCATGCCTGCCCATTGTTCTAGAGGGGTCTTTAAGACCAGGTGATAAGTTCTCAGTGAGTACAGACCACAGACTGAGGATCATCAGCTAAGTTTCAGAAGGAATAGAAAGACTTTAATTAATACAACACCAATCAGAACCTCAAAACATCCAAAAATGTTTCACAGCCAATGAAACGCTTTTGAATTGTAGTCGCTGTTGTAAGTCAGAAATTCAGCAGCCATTCACACTCAGCAAGATCCCACAAACACCAATGAGATTTCAAGGTCATGATTTCAAGGTGAGAGGGGAAAAGTTTAAGGGAGATATGCGTGGAAAGTTCTTTCCGCAGAGGGCGGTGGGTGCCTGGAATGCGTTGCCAGAGGAGGTGGTAGAGGCGGGCACGATAGCGTCATTTAAGATGTATCCAGACAGATACATGAATGGGCAGGGAGCAGAGGGGTACAGATCCTTGGAAAATAGGCGATAGGTTTAGATAGAGGATCTGGATCGGCGCAGGCTTGGAGGGCCGAAGGGCCTGTTCCTGTGCTGTAATTTTCTTTGTTCTTTGAGATAATAAACTGGTAATCTCATTTCTTTAGTGATGTTGGAAGATTGAAGCATTGACCCAGGGCACTGAGGAAAACTCACCAGCTAAAAGCCAAGTCCTGCTGATGCTGGTGATTTGAATTTAAAATGCTGGAGCTACTCAGTTGTCTGGCAGCATCTGTGAAGAGAGAAACACAGTTAATGTTTCATGTCCAATATGATTTTGTAATGGTGGATTCAAAAAGTTAACTCTGTTTCTCTCTCCCACAAATGCTGTCAGACCCGCTGTGTTTCTCCAGCTCTTTAATTTCAGAACTCACTAGCTCAATCAGATCTTTCCCATCCACCTGTGAGAGCAAATAGGACCTGAACCAGATGCAGTCCTCTCCACGTTAATACATGTTGTTGTGTTGTCTCTGTGTCTGATTCACTGCAAGTTTTGATAGCAATTTCCAACACATAAACCACACAGTTTTTGATTTTGTTTGTAGAAGGTGTGAAATAACTGCACAGAGGTCAGTATCCTGTCACCTACTCACCCTTTATTTACATGTGCACTGTACATTGACTGTAACCGGCCAGCTCAAAGCTAGTCCCTACACTGAGAACAAAAACAATGTTGCTGGAAAAGCTCAGCAGGTCTGGCAGCATCTGTGAAGCAAAAAATCAGAGTTAACGTTTCGGGTCTGGTGACCCTTCTGCAGAGTTGAGGAAGTTTACACTGAGAAGACATTCTGAATCTCCTGTTTATATCTGTCTGCCAGTGTCCCTTGATGGGCCCAGATTAACAACCCCAATAGTAGTAGTCAATAAGATCCACCTGGCCCTAGTTCCAAACACTACAGCGTGTGCAGTAAATAACCAGAGCAAGTAGGATAAACTGTCTTGAAATACTGTAGATGCTAGAAATCTGAAAGAATAAAAAGAGCGGCAGAAATTCTCAGCAGCACTGTGGAGGGAATCCTTTTAAATAATTTTAAAATATCTTGCAGTTTGAATTCAGTTGTTCCCTGGTCTTTGTAGCACCTGGGCTTTTGCTGACAGCTTTTATTTCTTACAGATGTTCTGAAGGTTACTACGGAAACCCAGTTCTGGGCTCTGGAGAGCAGTGCAGACCCTGCCCGTGTCCCCATTATCCAGGGAGTGACCATTACCATGGAGTATCCTGTCACGCAGACCTTGACTCTGATCAGATTGTGTGTTACTGTAAAACAGGGTACACAGGTAAATCCAGTTCTCTATCTGCTGGATATTTGTATAGTCACCGTAGTGTCACCAGAGAGCTGCTCTCTCATTAGAAAGGGTCACCTCACCTCAGCAGAGGGAAGAGGTTGAGAAGGAGAATCCTTCATGATAACCTCAGGAATTGAACCACACTGTTAGCATCACTTTGTATTACAAGCCAGCGGGACACCCATCTGAGCTAACTGAGCCCCAGTCTGTTCCATAGTCCCTGTGGTCATTGAAAGGTGATTGGGAAAAACGAGAGATCCAATCACACAGAGATCCTACAGAGCCAGTTGTGATGATCTGAAGCATACTTCCCTGAAAAGGTCCTGGTGGTGGAACCCGCTTTAGGAATAACATTCAGAAGAGAGTTGGACCAATACTGAATGGAAAATATTTGCAAGGTTATGGGAACAGTGCAGTACCAGTGGGATGAAGCATTGTGGGTCTACCTACAGCCCATGGCCTGCAGTGGTTCAAGAAGACAGCTCACCACCACCTTCTCAAGGGGCAACTAGGGGTCAGCAATAAATACTGGCCCATCCAGCAATGCCCACATACCATAATGAACAAATAAAAATCTGAATAGGATTTTCAAGGAGCCACCACTGATGCAATGGTCCAAATGAAATCTTTCTGTGATGTAAGAGTGTTGACCCCAGTTCACCTCTTAACCCTCAAGCTTCGCCTTTCAACCTTCACCTCTCAACCCTCAACCTTCACCTCTCAACCCTCAACTTTCATCTCTCCTCCTTCACCTCTTGACTTTCACCTCTTAACTAGCTCTGTTCCACAAAGAACAGTCTGAACATTTCTGAACTTCTCATAACTAACTCACTCATCCCTGGGAAACCTTGTTTCGACTCTACCTGAAATCTTCACATCTTCCCCAGAGAGTGGGGACCAGAATTATTCAGTTTTCCAGTCAAGGTCTAGCCAATCATTTATAAAGTTCCAGTGTAACAGTTTTTATATTCTGTTCCTCTAGTTGTAAAACCAGGTATCCTATACATGTGAGAGATAGTAGGAACTGCAGATGCTGGAGAATCCGAAACAACAAGGTGCAGGGCTGGATGAACACAGCAGGCCAAGCAGCATCATAGGAGCAGAGAGGCTGACGTTTCGGGCCTAGACCCTTCATCAGAAAAGGGGGAGGGGAAGGGGGTTTTGAAATAAATAGGGAGAGAGTGGGAGGCGGATAGAAGAGGGATAGAGGAGAGGATAGGTGGAGAGGAAACAAACAGGTCGAAGAGGTGGGGTTATTTTTAATCAACTTATCACCTTATCCCTTAACCTTTTAGAATGTGTTCATTAACACCAAGGTCGTTGCTCATCTGTGCCCCTAGCTATTTTTGTTGTGTCCATTAATGGTCCAGACATGAATGTAGGAGGTATGATCAGTAAGTTTGCAGATGACATGAAAATTGGTGGTGTGGTTAATAATGACAAGGATAGCCCTTGACTACAGGATGACATAGACAGCTGATCAGATCAGCTCAACGGTGGCAACTGGAATTTAATACTGAAAACTGTGAAGTGATACATTTTGGGAGGACTAACAAGGTAAGGGAGTTCACATAGAATGGTAGAATTGTATGAAATATAGAGGATCAGAGGAACCTTGTTGAACATCTCCATAGACTTTTGAAGGCAGCAGGACAGGTGGATGTGATGGTTAAGACAGCATTTATTAGTCAAGGCAGTGATACAAGAACAAAGAATACACAGTTGTTAGACCACAGCTGGAATACAATGTGTAGTTCTTGTTGTCAAACGATAGGAGAGATGTGATTGCACTGGAAGGGTTGCGGAAGAGATTCTTCAAGGTGTTGTCTAGGGTAGAGTAATTCAGCTATGAAGAGACACTGCATATGCTGGTGTTGTCGTTCTTGGTGCAGAGAAGGCTGAGGGGAGAATCTGAGATGTACAAAGTGCTGAGGGACTCAGACAGGGTCCCCCTTAATAGAAGGATCAATTACCATTTTGCAAAGATTTAAGGGAAGGGGCAGGAGGTTTAGAGGGGATTTAAGGAAATATTTTTTCACCCAGGAGTTGGTGGGTATCTGAAACTCACTGCTTGAAAGGGTGATAGCGGTACGAACTACACAACGTTTAAGAACTATTTAGATAAACATGTGAAATCTCATGGCTCACAGGGCTATGGGCCAAGTGCTGGGAAATGAGATTAGAATAGATAGGTGCTTGATGGCAGTGCCGAACATGATGGGCTGAAAGGCCTGTTTACATATTGCAAAACTCCATAACTACATGTAGACCTTACAGAATGATGCCGTGTCTTGTACACTATCTTTCCATACAAATATCCTGAAATAGCAGTACTTCTCAACTCCCTGTGCTGATTCCATGTCAACCTGAAGGCTATAACTGTCCTCAGCACTATCTAATAGTTTGTAAAAGTTTATATCATCAACAAACTTCATAACGCTACTCCCTAGACCTCACTCACTGAGGATTCAGCATTGACTGAAGATATTCAGAGCTTTGGTGGAGTTACAATAAGAAGCAGTGGGGATGTTGCAGTGTTTGAATGAACTCAGGCTGAATAGCCTTGCTCAGCCACAACAATCTTCTGATGTTACCACTTCTTTAAAAAAATCACTGCTGAAGTTTTTCTGGGGCAGTCTGGAGGCTGCAGCTTTATAATTCAGACATTACATCTTTTTCAGACTTTGAGGATCTAGAATGAAGATCTGGCTCACTCTAGTGGTATTCAGTGGTATGAGAAATGTTAAGTGCAGGTTCCTGTCCTGACTGATGACACTCGTGACTCACTGAGTGTACTCCTGTGGTCACTCAGCAGCTGATCTGCTGTTGATTTTCAAAATCCCACGGAAAAATAAATAAAATGTTCCTCGCCAAATGTTGGAAGCAGTGCAGAGACAAATAAGCAGGTGCGTTATGATGAAAGGTGAGACAGAGTGGGCCTGTATCCTCTGGAGTTTAGAAGAGTTAGAGGCGACTTAATTGGAACATATAAGATTCTGACGGGACTTGACTGTGCGGATGTTGAAAGGATGGTTCCTGTTGTGGGAAAATCTAGAACTACAGGTCAGAGTTTAAACATAAGGTGTCACCTATTTAAAACAGGGATGAAGAAACGTTTATTTCTCTCGAAATATTGTGACTCTTTGGAATTCCTTTCTCAAAAGGCAGTGGATACAGAATCTTCAAATATTTTTAAGGCAGGGGGAGATAGATTTTTAATGATCAAGGGGAAGAAAGATTATCGGGCAAAATGCAGGGACGCAGAGTTGAAATTAAAATTAGATCAGCCGTGATCTTGTTGAATGGAGGAGCAGGCTCGAAGGGTCAAGTGGCCTGCTCTTGTTCCTTTTCTGTATTTTGAAACTGACCCACTGTCACACTCTCTCCCTCTCTCTCTCACGGTTTATTCCATTTCTTATTATGACGTTGTTTTGTGATAAATGAAGAGCATTCTTTAATTGTTTCCCAAACGCAGGGTCTCGCTGTGATGTCTGTGCACCCGGTTACTATGGTAACCCTGAGGTACCAGGAGGGAAATGCTGGCCTTGTCAGTGCAACAATAACATTGACCTGACTGATCCCGGATCCTGCCACCCAGACACAGGACAGTGCTTAAAGTGCCTCTATAACACTGATGGCCCTCACTGCGAGGCCTGTAAGGCCGGTTACTATGGCAATGCCCTCAGGCAGGACTGCAGGAGTGAGTATGGGGCATCAGGGAGCAGGGCCGATGGGGCTGTGGGTCCCTGGTGGGGGAATACTGTCTGGAGGAATCTCAGTCGGCTGCTCTGTGTTATTACCCTGAGCAGGGGACACGAGCGGCTCCAAGCATTGTGGAGAAAGTGGAGATATCAGAGGGGCTGGCTCATGATGGCCTAGTATCATTATCACTGGACTGTTAATCCAGAGACCCAGGGAATGTTCTGGGACTTGGGTTCAAATCCCGCCACGACAGATGGTGGAATTTGAATTCAATAAAAATCTGGAATTAAGAATCTAATGATGACCAGGAATCCATTGTCAATTGTGGGAAAAACCCATCTGGTTCACTAATGTCCTTTAGGGAAGGAAACTGCCATCCTTACCTGGTCTGGCCTACATGTGACTCCAGACCCACAGCAATGTGGTTTCCTCTTAACTGCCGTTTGGGCAATTAGGGACGGGCAATAAATGCTGGTCTATCCAGCAATGCCCTCATCCCATAAATGAATGAAAAACAAAGACAAGCAAGCAACGGGAATGCGTCCGGGGATAATGGGGAGTACTCCATTTTAGAAGTAGCAGTTCCACAGGCTCTCAGAGGCCGCACCTTTGTCACGTTTCGTGTTTGTGGTCTGGTCGACATCCAGAGGGAAAGGTCACTCCTGCTGGATGGCATGGGCAGGGGCTGTGGGCAATACTGGAGGTGACCCTGGTACCTCTCATGGTCGATTGGCTACATCACAAGTGTGAAAAGGCAGAATCAAAGTGGGATTTGGACATGGATTACAGTTTAATGCTACAGTGGATGGGATTTCATTCTCTCGGGGAATCGAGGGATCTGACGAGCAGGAGGGAAAGTGGAAGTGAAACCCAAGGATCATAGTGAATGGTGGAACAGGCAGGATGGGCCGAATGGCTGACCGTGGCTCCCATGTGTGTTCCCAGGGAAACTGTACTGCAGTGAGGAGTTGAAGCTTTGAGGTGAGGGAACTGTCGGGAAAGTCGGGGGAGGGGGATTCAAATAGTTCCTGATTGTCCAGTGTGTATGCACAGAGACGGAGGTAACATCCCTGTTCATTGTCCTCCCCTCAGGCTGTACCTGCAACTTTCAGGGCACACTGGAGTCGGAGTGTAATTCCAGGGAGTACTGTCACTGTGATCAGATTACAGGACAGTGCCCTTGCAGAGAGAATGTCATCGGATTGAACTGTGACCAGTGCAGACAAAACTACTGGAACTTTGGCAGTTTGCGAGGGTGTGAGCCGTGTCAGTGTCATCCCGAATATTCACATACTGCACACTGCAACATGGTAAATATTAAATATCATACAGCACACTGCAACATGGTAAATATTAAATATCATACAGCACACTGCAACATGGTAAATATTAAATATCATAC